AGTGATCCGTCAGGAACTGGGTCCTGTAACGTGCAAAACCAGCCTAGACCATTAGACGTGTTTGCAGGTACACATCCATGGCCAATGGATGCTTCCCTCTCTGATGCATAGCTTCGTTGGACAGAGTAGCATCAGAGAGCTCTGTCCCCCTGCATTATTATTAGAAGGGGAGAGGACGGAAGGAAGAAAAAAGAGAGAAGTTTTACATCTATTCAGATGTTACACACACACACACACCCGGCCGGAGCCGGGTCAACCCTGAAAGGCAAAAGGAAGAAAAAAGCGGACACAAACGACGGGCAAAGGGCCAAAACAGCGCAAGGGGGGGAGGGGAACAGACGGACCTCCAAAACCAACCTACACGGCGAAACGGACCTGACCAAAACAGAGCACACACCTAAACCCCCACGACACATTACGGAGAGGCACGCAGGGAGAATTAGGGACCAAATGGGGAACTAGTTGATGAAAAACAAAAGGAACCAAAACAATTAGTTAAAACACAGAACTCAGCTCCTACAAACCTAAGAGTCGTGCGTTATTCCCTTTCCGGGACCGTGGTCAAGTCTTGCCCCAATTGGCATAAACGGCTTTCAAGTTCCAACGAATTAGGTGCACAATATGTTTCACCTCACCAGACAACCATCAAAAGAAAAAAGACCACACCTGAAAGTCGTGTGCCTGCCTGTTGTTCATATCATGTCCTGGTTAGTCTGTCACTGTGAAAGCAAGAGCTGCAGTAAAAACACGGTTTCTGGTAGTTTCGAACGGCTTCACTGTGATAGACGAGCATTTCGGCGAGGAACCCTGGGACCAAAGGACCAGCGGGACATTACAGAAATGGTGCAGAACAGTAAGGCCAACTGTTTCACTTTACTTAAACGAATTACCAAATTAAAGTGTGTTAATTCGGAAGTCAATTCAGTCGACATTGATCCTAAACAGGGTTGCCTCAATTGGCCCTATGGCACCATGTCGGAGTCACCATAGGAATCACACTAGACAAGAATGGATCATTATAGTGATCCGTCAGGAACTGAGTCCTGTAACGTGCAAAACCAGCCTAGACCATTAGACGTGTTTGCAGGTACACATCCATGGCCAATGGATGCTTCCCTCTCTGATGCATAGCTTCGTTGGACAGAGTAGCATCAGAGAGCTCTGTCCCCCTGCATTAGTATTAGAAGGGGAGAGGACGGAAGGAAGAAAAAAGAGAGAAGTTTTACATCTATTCAGATGTTACACACACACACACACCCTGCCGCAGCAAGGTCTTTTTGGAAGACCACAAGGGGTGGTAGTCTTGATGCCCTATGTGGGTGGAGAGGTTGGATCCGCAGGCAGTGACTGGAAAGTTGGAGGACATGAATGATGATTGAGGTGATTGCTAAGTGGCAAGCTGCTGATGAAGCATGGGAGACTGATGTCGAAGGGACTGAAACCAGCGATGTGACAGAGTGCAGGAGGCCCCCAACCGAAATTCACAGTCACCCAAAGGTGCCGTGCAGAGAACGAGCAGCTCAGCAAGGGGCATTCATGTGGCGCGGCCGAGGCGAAGAGGAGAATGGCGGCCAAGGAACATGATGGGCGGTAAATGCCCTTTGTGGGCGGAGAAGTTGGATCCGCAGGCAGTGGCCAGAAAGTTTTACGAAATGGATGAAATGCATGATGTGATTGCAAAGTGGAAAAGAGATAAGCAAGCAAGGAAGACTGATGTTGAGTGCAGGAAAACCACTTGAAACCCCCGACCGAAAATCACAGTCACCTAAAGGTGCCGTGCTGAGAACATACAGCTCGGCAAGGGGTATTCACGTGGCACGGCGGGACGGCGGGACGGCGGCACGGCGGTGGCGAGGAGGAGAATGGCGGCCAAGGAAAATTGATGGGCGGCACAAGTGGGAATTGCCACGAGAACGGAAACATGGCAAAACCAGAAATGTCAGGATGGAAAATACTAGTCAACAGTTAAAACAAATGTGATGCATCCTCAAGACTTTGCAAGAGTCGTGATAAGGCTCGAGGCCCTCCAAGTTCAAGTCAAAACCCTCTGGATGGCTTAAGTGGTCACCCTGCGAGTTAGGTGCACAATTGCACCTCACCAACGACCAAAGAAGAAAGAGTCACCACACTTGAAAACATGACCTAACACCTCAATGTCAAAACGAAAAATGGTGAGTCCCCAGACAGCGGGCAGCTCTTCAACATCTCGACGATCGACAGGTGAGACAGTGAAAAAAGGCCATCTGTTTCACTTTACTAAGACGAATTACCAGGTTGAAAAGTGTAAATGCAGATTCAAAACGAGAAATGGTGAGTCCCCAGACAGCGGGCAGCTGTTCAACATCACGACGAGCGATAGGTGAAACGATTAAAAAAGCCATCTGTTTCACTTTACCTAAACGAATTGCTACGTTAAAAGTGTATATTCAGAGGTCAAGTCGGAGGATCAAACATCCTACCTAGACAGGTATTCCCCGAGGGGCTCACGGCATCTTGTGGTGAAGAGACCCGAAAAAGTATCAGAAGGCGACCATCGCCATAGCCAGCATAGTGAAGTCAAAAATTGTTTTGAAAAGATTGAAGCAAGTCCCAGATTGCGGCAACGTACGTATCGCACATGACAAAGTCAACGAAGTGAAACTGCAAGCTGTTCGGCGAGGTGGTTCTTGGGTTGTCCACGTCCCATGTCCAGAAAGTAAGATCTTTGCAGGTACGTCGGGATGATCAGTCCCGATATCCTCCCAACTCAATGAGTAGCTTGATTTTGGCAGTGGACTCATGAGTGGGCCACCGCCCCCTGCTGAAATCAGAAAGCTGAAAAAGAAGCAGCAGTAGTGGTTTTACTTCTGTTCAGAAGTTCCACACACACACACAATCAGCCCTCTTCCTACTGTTTCGTGGCATCCCCCTTGGCATCTACATGGGATAAAGTTTTTGTAGCGTAGGTACCTAGTTTGGGCGTCTCGACTAGGTTCCACAAAGCAGCGCAGAGGATTAAGGAGGTACAGCAGGCATGGACACAAGTGAAGCCTGAGCACTGGAAAGACAGGTTTGATTTGGTTCGGTTCTGCAAATTCAAACGGGATGAGAGGACAGCAACTTGCTTTTAGCACAAACGCCATGATTGAAAGCCACACCAGTTGAGGAAGGAAAAGGCAAGTCCTGGCTCGCTTAAGACCAAACAAAACAAATCTCAGCCGGCTGAGCCGCCTGAACCTTCCAGTTTCATGGGTTCGTTGCATACGTCCTGGTTTTCTGGTGCTGCCCTGTCCTTGAACACTTCGATCATTTCCCATGTTCGTTCGGGTTTAAGACATTTTGAGACCGGTTGCGACCGGCTTATGAGTTTTTCATGTTTTCTCTTCAAAATAATGGCCCGCTGAAGGGCTGAAGAGGAGAGCGTGTTGCATCCTGCCAACTGGGATAACAGCCTCATCAAATCAAATTTTGTTCGGCTAGTCTGCTATATATATATATACACATAATATATATATATATGTCATCAGGTGGAGAAGTTGTCAAGCGCCATTCGATAGGAAGACACCTTGCTGTGCATGTGGTTCAGGAAAGAGAGGATCTTCAAAGATCGATCGATAGCTAAAGCTTACCCATGCAGCTCTTTACGTTGAGTCATAGGTCATAGGCTTTCCTGCCCTACCAAACAAAGTTCGAACACTTCATGGATGCACTTGAAGTCTTTGACCAGAACGAATTCATCCAAGCCTCCAATCGTCAAAAGGAGTCTGCTGTAGACCTCATCAATCTGTCCGAATTTATGGCTTTCTATGTGTCACGAGGTACATCTATGGTGAAGTTTTAATTGCATTGCGGGTGCTTTAGGGGAGCACCAACGTTGAGCCCTGGATAGAAGGCTCTGCTTGGAGACGTAACTGCCTCAAATGATTCAGACGGCACATGGCAACAAGATGCAACAAGCAACACACAAAGCTGGATGATATGAACCAGAGAGAATACAGGCTACAGAGGCTACAGGGGAGTCTCACAAATTTCTTCAGCTCTGTGGCTCTGTGGTCCTACGTGGTCCATACGTGGTCCTACACTTTCAATTCGGATCTCACTCCCAAAGATGTTTGAAGCTGTCGGTCCGCAGAGAGATGAGGTCGGATCAACAGGTTCCACAACGACCATCTCGACCTCAATGAATAATAATGAAAAATAATGACACAGACATGTGAAAACGACTCAGCTGACTTATCGTTGACTTGGAGAGACTTTCAAAAGACTCAATTTGCATCTATTTATTTATTTATATTTATTTATCATGTCCGCCATTTGCAGTCACGACAAGCGAAAAATAAAATAAGACCTCCAAATGTTCGTTCCAAGTACAATTTTGCAACCAAGAGGCGCAGAGTTTCATAGGCAGAGCCCAAGGCATTCATGATTGTCAACCGTCGTGCTTCGCAGTCTTGCGCGTCTTGCATAGAGGTTGGGTGTGCATGAGAGGAACATGCCAACAAAGTCTAGAGTCTAGTGATTCAAAGTCTCCAAATAAACAGGACAAAATGAAATAATCTGGGGATATCTGGAGCATCTTGGTGTAGCGTACTACATCAGTTCATCAATGTTCATCATATCTTTGGTGTAAAGGGCGCAGATGGGTGTGAAACTCTTGTCTTGAGCACTATGTTCTGGCAGCGGAACTTCTTCTGTTGGTTGGATGGCTGGGCCCGTCTGACGATCGGTTGGTCATGCACTGAGTGGGTGGGGTCTTCGAGTGAACCGGTGAGTTCCTCAGCATTTGAGGGCATTGAGCAAGTAGTGCGTGATTGATTTTCTACCTCGACATGCCTAAAAGACTGATTGACTGATGAGCCAGCAACGTGAATGAGCCACTGAGCGAGTGGATGCTTCTGTGAGTCAAAGGTGATTGAGCGAAGAGCAATTGAATGAGTTCATTAGCGTTTGGTGATCGAATGAACAATTCACCAAATGATTGAGGTTGCGTACCGTAGTAAGACAATGGCTCACTTGTCATTCTACAGGCCAAACTGGCGCAGAGAGGATGGCGCCGACACTGACAGCAAAATCAACAAACCTTGGGCTATGGAAACCGCTCATTCAAGGCTCACCAGCCTGGCTCCAAAACTCCAATTTGACAATCGCACGGCATAGCACGGAACGGGCCAAGGCGTATGTCCATCGAAGACTTTCGCTCGTGCCAACGCGAACTATTCCAACGGCGGCCCCACTCGAAATATTTTTGCTGACACACAGCACCATCGCTCGACTGTTGCATGTCTCGGTAATGTGGGCTTCACCTGGACTTTTTCGCAGTAAAGACCCTAAAGAGCACAAGTGGCAGAACGCACTGATATTTGCCCAGATCACGCCTGTGTCGCAAACATGTTCAAATTGAATCTGAATCTCGTGAAAATGTTTCTCATTCCTAACGATGCCCTCTGCCAGCACCAACCGTTGTAGGCAGGTTGGCAGAAGCAAGACCCCTGCAGAAAACCGCGCACTAGTTCTGCCTCTGAACAAGGCCACCGGGAAGAATTGCAATTAACGTGCTTTTTGCTTTCTTTGCAGGCAAGCACTGCATGTTCATGATGTTGAATGGTCCTATCTCCCTCCCTCAAAGATCGTCCCCTCAATTTCTTGGGCAAGTAGCCTCCACCACTAGCCTTAAACGCCAAATAGAACAGTAGATCGAGGATGCGTGATTTGCGTCGAACTCCTTGCAACTGACAATTTGGCTGTACAAATGGCAAATAAATTTAGTATCGTCAATCGTGTGCTGGGAATCGAAACTCGGCCAATTCAACCGAAAACTGGAGCCAATACTTTGCAGTTACATCATGACGTGCAAACCAAGTTGAAGCTTTGATCAAGTGATAAATGTAATCAGGTCAATGTTTCACGTTGTGTTGCAAATAATTTGTTTTTAAAATCATGCCCAGCTCTGCAGCAAGGAGAAACTCCCAATCGACGAGGGACAACTCCCAATCAACGAGGGACATCATTTTCTTGCCATTGGAAACTCTCTCCAGGAGTTGGTCCGATCCATCGTGGGAAAGTATCCAAGCCTGACAGAGTTCTAAGACTTTGCAATTGACATGACACTGAAATGACATCCAGCACAACACAGTGATATCGTGGACACAATCCAAGTTCGAGAAGTCTTTTGCAACCAGCGATTCAACTACTGTTGGATTCCATCGGATGGAGACAGGGAGATGGATGACAACACCTGTGCACACATGTCAACCTGAGGTAAAACGATGACATCAAATGGACGATTGAGGTGTGACATCTGAGATGTGACTCCCCTTGTTGAGTTAACTATTTGGCGCCAAAACTCAGTCTCAATCAAATGCACTGGCAGTGACATTGATGAGTTTCATCTCTAGAATGCTGTACTACTGGTAGCAAAGCACAGCGCAGCATAGCAACTACTTGTTACTGCTTTTGGCTCGAGCCCAATGAAAGTGGTTCGCGCTCCATTGCGCAATGCGAACTAGCAACAAGAATGTCGGTCTCAACAAAAGTCGATGTAGGTTCAAAACTGCTTCAGAAGACCACAGCGCAACAGAGTTGAAGTAGAGCTGAGAGCATGGAGAGCTGTGTCTCTTATATATGACAAACCCATGCTCTTGCAGCACAACACAGCTTCTCGGTCCAAGTTCATACCCTTATGTGGAGAACCGACTCGTCAAACCCGTACTCTCTTGGATGCATTTCGTTGCCATTGATTGCACATACGTATCTTCTAAGTAGAGACTTACCGGGACACTGGTTTTCAGCCCCGTAGAGTTTTGAACATCTTGGCCAAACACTCCTAATTTGCACACTGATGTTTATTGCACGTAAAACGAAAGGCATTGCGGCCATCACGGCCCCTTAAAGCTTCAGCAGGAGCAGCTAAAACGTCAGCATTCTTCAGATTGCCTGACTTACTGTGAGAGGCAATTCTCTAAAAGACAGCCTTGGCAGCTACTGGTGCCTCTGGAACACCAAGGGCTTGCAGCTCGCTCTCATGCAACTGTAGCCACCTGTTATTGGAAGACTTTCCAGAACTGTTCCAGATCAGCAAAGTAAATACAAGATTGACAAGAAGCCTGTCATTCAGTATCCGTTGTACGGAAAGGCGCTGCCCCTTTGTGCAAGCACCCACAGAGATTGACCTTACGGTGAAAAGCAATGTTTCAAGAAATGTTGATGATCGAAACTTGCAAAGTAATCTTCAGCTCTTTCATTGGAGAAAGTAAAAGGTGGGTCCCACACTTGATGCTTGGGCTGGATCTTATAGCCACTGTCTGAAGAGCCCGAAACCTGCGAAACATCTGGTACAGTAGCAAGTGGGAGTAAGTATTTACAATCGGAATATCCATGACATCAACTTAAGAATTACATGGAGTTACACCAATATCACCTGTTTCATCTGCTTTGTGGACAAAGGCAGTCGCTTCAAAGGCGCACAGCCAGAGGCCAAGCCCTGGGCCAGGTGTTTGTAGCGAAACTGGCTCGCAGCTCTCCTGTCGCCTCGCAAGTGGTAGAGTTGGTAAAGTTGTCATGACTCTTTGGTTCCGCTCAACTGCTTGCAGCATGGACGCAAGTGACACACGATTCCGGATGATGTACAGAAATATAAAGCAAACACATTGTCACCGCAACCCCTGAGCAAAGTTGACCCTTGGTTTTCAATTTGGAGGTCGCCAGCACCTACACAAACCCTGGACCCCGATGCAGGTCTGTCTGATACACCCTACGAGTACCACTATTTGGCGTACAGTCGTACCCTGCATCCATCAGTTCCGCACAGAACGCCCGTACATAGCTGGATGTACGAGCTATACTGCACCATTTTCATGTGTTTTCTGCTGGGGAGAAGTCCCCTCAGGGCTTTGGAGAATGAAATCCTTTGACTGCGTCGTGCATTTTTAGAAAGTGAAGAAAAATATGTAGAAAAAAAAATCCCGGCAAGAGACCCCAAACAGTGTGGGGGAGCGGGAATTCTATGTTTCAAATGCGAGCAACAATAGCCACGGGACAAATATAGGATGCGCGTCAGGCGCAGCAGCTTTATTGGCCGCAAGACTTTGGCGTATAAGACATTGGCTACGATCATCGCAAACATGGTGTACGGGACTGGTCGCGCACCATTGCTGCTTTGGATCAGGCGGTGGACGAGCATTTCTAAGATTCTAAGCATCAGCAATAACACGCCGGTCTTAGCCCCGCGGCTGCGCGGGGCACAGAGGCGGTGATGAAGACCATCTGCAACCATGTTACCACAGAATGACACAACGGTGGTTTGTTTGGTCAATGCAGAGTCCCTCTGTTCCCTTCTGTTTTTTTTCAAACATCGATTTGCCGCACAGTGCTGGAACCAAAAACGAATCCACGTGGTGTTATTTAGAATTTCTGTCTTGGCTTTGCGCTCAAGACAAAGGGCACTGCAGCAATCCAGAAGGCCGATGCGAAAAACATCAAAGAGGATGGCACAAGAACATCAAAGGAAGGACATGGACAAGACGTCAAAGAGAATGGCTCAAGATCTAGAATCTAGAACGTCCCAGGAGCATGCCAGAAGAACTTCCACACAGGCAGCGCGAATGCAGAGCAGCTTCAAGATCTTAACGCAAGGGCATCTTAGGAAAAACCTCTTTGACAGTACAGGACGCCCTCAACGAACCAATAAGAATACACTAACAAACATACCATATACAAAATCTAGTGATACCCAACTCACGCCCTAAGCAAACAGTCAACACACCCTAACCATACCACAATCAGACCAAACATCAACATACCCCAAACGAACCCTAACATTCCACAACCATACCCTCAACATACCCCAAACAAAATCTAATCATACCCCAAGAACCCTAAACAAACTCCAAACATACCCAGAACATACCCTGACCATTTTCATGAGTTTGCTGCCATCGGTAGGATGCTACATCTCCCCACAAAGGCAAACCTCCCATGGGTTGGCGGTGAAAGAGGTGACCTTCCTAAGGCGACAAGTTGCCGGTGGAAGACAGACTCAGTCCAACGCCCCAAAGGCGGGAGTCCATATACCATCCCGAGGTGCAGGGCCAGCCAACCATGTGACCAGAAGCCGACGTGGGGCAGGAGATCACCCAGAAGAGCGGGAGTCAACAAGCAGGGCAAACCAGCAGCGTGAGTCAGGAACCCGGAGAAAGGAGCAAGTTGAATAGTAACAATAGGAGCTGACTTTCCTTTATAAAGGTTGCTTCAACAAGATCCGCCTATCTATATATCTGGCCCTCCATCCGTTTAACCCCCTTAAGGTTGTGTGGGGGGTCGGGGTAGGAAAGTAAAAACTCCCCAGTGCAGGGTATCACGCAAAGATGCTAAGCTGCTACACTATATGGCAGTCAAGGTCCTACATCACGCAATCAGCCGCTGCGGTTTGAATTTAATTACACCAGCAAGAGACACCAAACAGTGTGGGGGGGTGGGAAGTCTATGTACCAGATACAAGCAACAGTAGCTATGGAACAGCAACAAATGAGGTTCGACATTATCGCAACTGCAGCAGCAAGGCCTTCTATGTAGATCTATATATATGGAGGATCTCACAAGATCTTCATACAAGAACTTCCTGTGAGCATCCCAGAAGAAATTTCATACAAGCACCAATGCAGAAAATCTTCAAGATCTTGATGCAAGGACCTCTTGAAGAGGATTTCAACAGGATCTCCACAAGATCTTTTCAAAAAGTACCAGATCATGTAAGGACACCGAGAGGATTTCACCAGGACCTCTTCAAGAGCGTCTCAAAATGACGTGGACAAGATCACGTAAAGGCCTCAGTAGGAATTGTACAAGTCCTTGAGCAAAAGCTTCACGCCAGGACCCTTAAGAGAATCTCACAAGGTCGTCATAAAAGGACCTGCTGCAGCTGTAGCGGATCTTACAAGATCTTGATACAGGAACCTCCCAAGAGCCTCCCACAAGAGCTTTCATACAAGCACCATGCATCTGCAAGCTCCTCATGCAAGGACCTCTTAGAGAGGATCTCACCAGGATCTCCACAAGATCTTCTGTGTTAAGGACCCGTACAGGATCATGCAAGGACCTCTCAGACAGGAATTGAGCAAGATCTCCACAAGAGCCAGGTGACACGAGAATTTACACTGAAAATGCCGCAGACCCAGAGCTTGACCTGCGCAGTCGACATGCACATGCAAGAGCCATTTTTGGAAGAATGCCTCGCCCCAAGAACGCGACGCACAGTTCGCGCGACCTGCGCCGTCGAAATGCACATGGACATCTCACAAGAGCATTTTTTGCGAAAAAACGCCGCGCCCCAAAGTCGCGGGGCAGACTTGCGCGAGCCTGCACAGTCGAAATGGACATAGACATCTCACAAGAACAATTTTGCGCAAGAATTTACAGCAAAAATGCCGCAAAGCAGATGGCGTACCCTGAACTAACCCCGGCCTTCACTCCCACCGTAAGCACCCCTCAGTGCGTTTGGGGGTAAAAGGCTGTCTCCTCATCTTCGACCAGGAACTCGTGAGCTACATCTCCATCCTCATCCTCACACTTGCAAGATCCGTGTGAAAACGCGCAAGCCCGAGAAACCCTGCCTCAATTACACCACGGCTGCCAGGGACCAACACGGTTCCATCGCCACCTGGACAGAAATTTGCATTACTTGGCGTGACTTGACACTTGCGGCACATGAAATTCCATGAATTTTTCGTAACGGGGAGACTGCTCCACAAGCAACACCAGCCTGGGCAATACACAATCAGGTCCTGGGATCCATCAAAAAAAATTAGGGCATGATGGGTTCTTATTCAAGCCATTCATAGCGATGATACAACAAACGCAACAAGGAGGCCAGTAATGACAGTGTGACAGAGCCAGGAGTAGGTGTTTGCCCTTGCATCTGTCGCAGCAATGGCAAAACCAGTAAAACACAGCAGCTGCGAACTATTGACGGTCGGCGGACTGACTCGGAATTGAAGAAATTGTAAGCGAATAACACATGGACTGCGCGCAATCTTATGCATATGTGTGTGGCTCTTATCGTATAACATGCTGACTTTTCCTCTCATGGCTTCACTGGTCTTTCCTGATTTGTATGTGTATATATATATAAATGAAGTTGTCCTTGCGTCTCCAGCCAGCAAAAAAATGCCTAGAAGGACAGCCGCGTATCACCAAATTCAAAGCCACGGGTGACAGCAGCAGTTGAACCAATTTGGAAGACAATAAAATATTAGTTGTACAAGTAATACCCGGGCGAGCCGGGGGCGAAGCTTCAACATTGAAACACCTATAGCCCATAGAGCGGAACAAAGAATGTGCCTATAGGATGCGGGCAAGCCTTCTGTGCTTCGCAGCAACAATCTCTTGACTTGTCATTCCGGTGCCATCCCTTGTCAAGGCTTGGTATTTTTTCACCTGATCTCATCGCATCGCAGCTTGTCTTGGAAATTCTCATTGCATTCCGTTGTCACCGCAGTCTGCGTCATCCCATCTCATCTCATCTCATCTCATCTCGTGTCTTCTGAGTTGTTTTTCATCCACCTCATCTCATCTCACGTCTTCTCTCCTCTTCTCCGCTCTTCACAGCTGATCATTAACTGCTCTCATCTCTCTCATGTCATCTGAGCTTTTCTCATCTCATCTCAGCTCCTCTGACCTCTTTTCAGCTCTTCTCGTCTTCTCCATTCTACGCAGCTCGTCTCAACTCAGTTCTTCTCAGCTCTCCACCGCTCTTCTCATGTCAGGTCATCTCAACTCACCCCATCTCATCTCATCTCAGCTTGTCTCACCTTTTCTCAAATTTCTCCACTCTTCTCAACTCTTCTCAGCTCTTCGCAGCTTACGTCAGCTCGTCTCAGCTCTTCTCAACTCTTGTCAGCTCTTCTCACCTCCGCTCAACTCTTCCCACCTGCTCCAAACCGGATGTCAGTGCCAAAACCGGAAAAAAAGTGCGATTTTGATGCTTTTCACCAGGATTTTTAGAAAAGAATTATACCAGCAAGAGACCCCAAACATTGCGTGGGTGTGCGAGGACAATGTATGACAGTGTTGAGGGTGATGATGACGATGTGGAGGAGGATGATAATGCTGCGGACGATGATGTTGAGGATGATGATGTTGAGGATGATGCGGTGCAGCATGATTATGTTGAGGATGATGAGGGGGAGGATGAAGTTGAGGATGATGATGGTGATGTTGAGGAGGAAGAGGATGAGGGTGATAATGCGGAAGATGAGGTGGAGGATGGTAAATTGGAGGATGATAATGTTGAGAAGGAGGAAGTTGATGATGTTGAGGATGATACTGCTGAGGAGGGGGACGGAAATGATGATAATGCCGCGTAAGATGAAGTGGAGGATGTTGATGTTGCGGAAGATAAAATAGAGGATAATAATGTTGAGGATGATAATGTCAAGGGGGAGGAAAATGATGATGTTGAGAATGATGATGCGGAGACCGATCCCAAGACCGCGACCCACAGTTTGCGCGAGCCTGGGCAGTCCAAATGCACTTGGACAAAACACAAGAAGCATTTTATGCGAAAAGTTACAGGAAAAATGCCGCGCCCCAGATGGATCCCGAGACCGCGACCCACACTTGTGGGAGCCTGCGCAGTCAACATGCACACGGACATGTCACATGTCACAACAGCCATCGTATGCAAAAATTTCAATCAAAAAGGCCGCGCCCCAGATGGATCCCGAGACCGCGACCCACACTTGTGGGAGCCTGCGCAGTCAACATGCACACGGACATGTCACATGTCACAACAGCCATCGTATGCAAAAATTTCAATCAAAAAGGCCGCGCCCCAGATGGATCTGGAGACCGCGACCCACACTTTGCACGAGCCTGCGCAATCGAAATGCACATGGACATGTCACAAGAGCCATCTTACGCGGAAATTTACAAGAAAAATGCCGCGCCCCAGATGGATCCCGCACTTCGCGCGAGCCCGCGCAATCGAAATGCACATGGGCATGAGCCTTATTATACGGAAATTTACAAGGAAATGCCGCTCCCCAGAGTGAGCACCTCGATCAACCGCCGGCCTTAACTCCTACCGTAAGAACCCCTCCTCAGTGCCGCTGTTTGGGGAGTAATGCAAGGCGCCAAAACAAGAAGAATCATCAAAAACTCATCGTCGCAACGTTGGCGCAACCAAGGATTCTGCCACCTCTACAAAAAGGATTGCACAGATACCATAGGAATTCACACGCAATTCACATGGATCGCGCGACCTCTACAAGCCGGACTGCACAGATACCCTCAGAATTCACATGGATTCAGCTACCTTTACAAAGAATAGCACGGATACCCAAGGAATCCACATGGATCCTTCGACCTCCTACCCTAAGAATTCACATGGGCCCTTGGACCTCCACACCCTAAGAATCATGGATCCTTCTAAGCACAGAAAGCAAAATGCACGGATACCCAGAGGAAAAGTTCAAAGCCGTCGTTTGGCAGACCTTACCCCATCCATCTTCAGAGGCACGTTTTTTTCCTGCAAAACGCATTTCGTGCGAGTTCCTTCAAAAACTGCAAGTTGAAGTTGTGAAAACGAAGCTTTCGTGCAAGACTTCACCTCAAAAACTGCAACTTCGGCTTGTGAAACGAAGCTTCGTGCGAACCGTCTTTGCTGTGAGATTTCTTTGGTATGAGATTTCTTTGGTGTGAGATTTCTTTGCTGTGAAACTTCTTTGCTGTGAGATTTCTTTGGTATGAGATTTCTTTGGTATGAGATTTCTTTGGTGTGAGATTTCTTTGCTGTGAGACTTCTTTGCTGCGAGACTTCTTTGCTGTGAGATTTCTTTGGTATGAGATTTGTTTGCTGTGAGGCTTCTTTGCTGCCATTCTTCTTTGCAGTTACTCCGTAACACGGAAGTATGCACTTCTAAATGTCCTTTCATAACATCTTGCCAGTAATGTCCGGCCGCTCCGGGGCCGAAGCTTGGATAAGAGTCGGCAACTAGAGACTGTAGGAGGTGAAATTTCTTCTCTCAGCCATCTTTTCTCTACTCTGAGCCACTTCTTCTTATGCTCTACCACTTTTCTCCAGGGCAACCGTTCCCTGAGCTACTTCTATGCTGGGCTACTTCTTCGCTATCCCTATCTCCTATCTGAACTACCCTACTCCTTCTCTGAGCAACTTTATCTCTGAGTTACCTCGTCAAAAGCCGACTCTTCTCTAAGCTGCTCCTTCTGCCCCATACGTACTCTCCAACCCTTCTCGAAGCTACATCTTCTTCGAGCCGCTTCTTCTTTGCGCTGCTTCTCCTTTGTCGGCCGCTACTTCTCATGCGCGGCAGCCCTTCTGGTCGTTTCCTTCTGTGAACCAAATTTTGCCTGAAACAACTCTTCCCTGAGCGGCCTCGCTTGCATGGTGCAAGCTGCCCCTTTTCTGACCGTTTTCTTCTGTCGGTCTCCCTGTCTCTGACCTGCCCCTTCTCTGAGCTATTTCTTCTCCGGCGGTTTCTTCTCTGAGGCACTTCTCTTCTCTGAGCCATCTCTTCTCTGACCTGCTTCTTCTCTGAGCCGCTCTGTCTGCGAGCCGCGGCTGTTCTCCGAACTTTTTGGCTACTTCAAGAAGTACTTCTTCGCTGGGCCGCCTCATCTTTGAGCTGCTTCTTCTCTGCACTGCCCTGTCATGGGGTCAACGCTTGTCTCAACTACTTCGGCTCTGATCCAACTCTGAGCTACCGAGTGTGGGACAGCTCTTGTCTTAGCGACTCTTAGGCACCTCCCCTGTGAGCCGGTTCCTCGGGGATGCGCTGTCGCATTGCATTTAACAAGCTCCAGCTGCACTCCCGCGTAGCAGGAAAGTCGCACCACGTCTACAACTATGCATCCTTCGCCCAGCTATTCCATCTTCGGTAACCATCGCGCAGCTGATCACGTCCAAAACCGTCCTTCGCTCTGTCAAATCGACGCCCCGCCACACCACAAATCGTCCGCGCACAAATCCCAAGCTGCTGCGATCATGCGTGTTTGCACATTCCCTCGCAAAGCCGAGCTCTCGCAACACAGTCTCGTGCAGGGACGACTTTCCCGGACCAAAGCTCGCACCCGTCGAAACCCAAATCACTTTGGCGACTCACTGCATTCCAATCTTATGATAGAATTGGTGATCTGAAGCTGCCTGTTGATATTCATCCGCAACTTGGAATTTCTTCAATCTAAACTTCCTCTAACAATTTTGATATCTTATATACCTCTTTTCTTCAAGCGGCCCAAGAGTTGGAGTTTGCAGTGGCGCTATCGCATAATTGCACCATGCTTTCAGCATCTTTCACTGGTCACCTTATCCAGTCCTCTCGTCTGGAAGCAGCAAGTCGTGCATCACGAGGCCTGAAGGTTCTAGCAACTGATTTGATGTGATTGGCGGATGTCAAAGCTCGGGGAACATCTGTGAACCTGATTAGATGGGTAAGGCTCAAGCAGCCCCAGTAACGTGTTGATCTCCTCGTGCTGCTTTTTGACCTGCATCCAGAGTTGCCACCAAAGCTTTGACCCAAGAAATCAAAGAGGGCTGGGTTGTCACTGAAATCATCTCAACATGCTACAATATTGATGGAAGTTGGCCAGCAGAGATGGGTTGGCCTGGGGAAACCCAGGCCTTGGTACTTGCACACCCACCAAATCGAATCTAATCCATACAGCGACTCATCCCAAAGAAAGTTCAGAATCGGCTTGCAAAAAAGACGCTTGAAACGCAGCAGCCCATCTCCTTAAGAACACTTTCTGTCATGAGTTCATGTCATTGAGGTTCATTGAGTCTGAGAGGAAATTAAAGAGGCAATTGAGAAGATTCTGCGAAGCCTGAAATTTTGGAAATCAAATCAAGTTGTGCAGTCACTTGTTGCTACGGGCAGCAAGTCTACAGTTGGCACCGCAATTATTGGCTCCATACAAAATACGAAACCTGAGAGCTTCCTACAGTGCTACAGTGGATCTGGATAGCGTTGCCAACACTGTCCCAATGAGCATTTCTTTTTGAGGGAAAGGCGAAAAAAATGTGATTTGAAAACTGACCTGCGAAGAATCCAGCCCGGAGAAACAAAGATTATTGAGTGCCGCCTTTTCACAAACGTGTGGGACAATCCCTGATTGAATTTGAACTGACCTGGTACATTGTGGCAATTTAGGCTCAACAAAAGATCCTCATTGTAAAGCTTCATTGATTCATCAGACTGGTGGACTCAGGCCATGTCTAGAGCCGCTTTTGAAACCTGATGAGCCATAATGAGCCATGATGAGCCCTCATACAGAACTAGCTTAACATAGCTTAACTAGCATGGCAAATTCTTGTAGAACCTCCAACTTTGACATGCAATTTGTTGGTCAAAACCTTTGGATAGGTCTCCGTCAAAAATACTGGAGACACAGGTTTCCCTATGGGATGTATTCCCAACAAAACTGTCCGTGAGCGCCTGTGATATCTAGGCCCACATGTGACTGCAATCCTCACATTTTTGCTCACAGCCAAAATTATGGATCGGATAGTTTTCAGATTGAAGTACAAACAGGGCGTCGAACATAATACCGGGTCTTGATCTTCGCCCCACTGTTTTTATTACATAGCTCACCTGGCGCCGCTGATGGATTTGTTCATCTGCGTTTGCGCTTTGGATTGCTGCACGCGAATCCAGCTTTGAAAAGCGCAGAGTTGCCATCGAGGCCTTTTCCCGTGTGGATCTAGCTGATATTTGCTGATATCGCTGTCGTTTCTCCACGACCCGCCGTTGTGCTCACCAACACTGCCAAACAAATTGTATGATTTGCCCGCGTCCTGAGCGCCCATGCTGGCACAAACGGCCAACTTATATTGGACACATCTCAACACAGAATCGAAAACCTCAAGAACAAGTGGTGGGGAGAATGAGATAAAATGGAAAAACATGGAAAGGAAATGGCAGCTCACCTGTACATGCTGCAAGACACATGAAAGGGAACGGTAGACGGATAAAGGGATTGCCAGCCCGAAACCAGGACGCCACCTGACAAGCCCCAGCCACATTTCAACAAGAGCAATTGAAAAGCCCGCCCGCACCAGAGGTTGCCATAACCCTATACAATACAGCTTTAGGAATTCGTTTTTGAATGTCTTTCAAGGTCCAATTTGTGGTTTGGAATACTGTTTAGGCGGCACCCCTACCCCGCCCCATGGCAAGGTAGGGTGCCGTGCCCAGAGGCCATCCAAGAACTAAATCGGCCATCAACCTGTTGCAGTGATGGGTGCAAAGAAAGCCAAGTTTATACAGTCTTTCAATGGGGATACTGCTATGCCCAGGAAACAAAATTGAAAAGTTATAATATACATATATATATATTATACATATATACATATTTTTCACATATATATATATATACATGTTCAAAAAAATGTCGGCTAAGAGGTCAGTAGTCTCAGTGATTGGAGATTATTGGAGACAATGCTGGATCCTAAGCAACACTCATTTCACTCCCACCCAAATCATCACTTATCTTACTTGTATCATTGCACTTTTTTTGGCTATTTTGTTTCCTATTTTTGTTATTTACTGTAAATGTTTTATTTACAAAACGCTACTTAGGTCTGTTACTTCACAATGGTCTTCCTATTCTATTCCGCTGCGGGCGGACTTAGACTCAAAGCGGTGCCAATATCATTCTCATGTACACAGTGGAATGACAGGACACAGGGACCCGGACACCACCGAACCTGAGATACAAAGCCAGGAAACAACTGCGAGACAGATGAAGTGCGACAGCCACAGACTACGAACACTAGGAACACAACAGGTTGACACCCCTCAGGGCAAACTTGAGGACCGAGTGATCAAACTTCTCGGGAAAGAAAAAATATCAAATCAGCAAGAGCATCCATCAAGTCATTGGATCACGCAAGGAAGGGCAAGGTAGCAACATGGTGGCATTGTTGAGGCCGAAGTACCACAACGGTTCCTGTTAAATATGGGATGTCGCTTAGAGATGCTTAGAGTGCATGCCAATCGATGACACTGACAGCCTTTCCAAAATCTGATTTTGGGAGAGAGGAATCTGACACCCGGAGCATTAGAAACAGCACAAACGAAGTAGCAATATTCAGGGTAAAAAGATGTAAAACTTAAAACATCTTCAAACAAAACTTCAGGTTGGTGGAGACCTCACTTTCCAGCAAGGCCTCTTTCAGACTCGTCGTTGCCAGCTGGACGCGGCTGTGGCAAGAAGGAACCCTCGGACCTTGGGGTTCTTCAATGCTGAGGCCATCTGAGCGAACATGTCCCCGACCTCACCAGTCATCCAAGAATCTCAAATCAAAGGAGGCTGTTGGAGATTCACTTCAAACGGGATGACCACTATGCATATGTAAATGTACAAGCTCAATCAAGAATTCTCTATAGTCTTCTGACTTGACCTCTTCTTAGTTCCATAGAACGCTGGCTTGAGAAAACACCACGCATCTCAATACCACAAGAGAAAACGCTTGGATCAGGACATACGTCTTTCGCACAGGCACAATTATCACCTTCTCATATCACATTCACTCATACCTCTCTCATGTCTCCTTTCCTTTGGTGAATCACTCTGGCTCTGTCTCTCTTTTCTTCGCCTTCTCACTTCTTTCTTTGAAGCTACTGCAATGGCGATGGCAGTTCACCGCAAATGGCTCTCCGCTGAAATGGCCCGTTTCACACGCTCAAAACTGCTGGGGAACATCAAGTTAAAAGCGTGAGATGTGTGCGACTGCATCACAGCCTTTTAGCCTTACATGCTCGTCTCAGACCCTCAGCCGCATTTCCGCTTTGCATGGCAGAATGGTGCGTGGTGACGGCTTGGTGACGCTAAAGGGCGGGAATCTCTGCTTGGAGCTCGCTGTGGGAAAAGACAATATTTTGCGCATGTTCGGGTCAATAGATTCAGGGCAATCAGGCATGTCCCAGCTCAGCTTAGCTTAGACGATGCGTTTGGAGTTACAGTAGCATAACTTAGCATAACTTGATCCAGAGATATCCCGAACAAATCAGGCTACAAAGAGTCAGGGCACTTCAAACGAACATGCGGGGCCAAGATTCCACCTCAAGATCGCTCAGCTCGAATTCCAAGATCAGCGAAAATTTGATCGGCGTAAGACACGCTACACATATTGATCACATCAAACGCAGGCTTTTCATGGGCTACCACATCATGAGCACAGCGGCGCTACCAGACACAACTACAGAAGCATGTGCTTAGATTATGTAGTAATACGACGGACTTGTCACCCCCATTACATCACAACACGATACAATACGTAATTATTCAAATATGTCATATGTCTTAATCTTTCTAAAAATAATCTTAGCAGGTTTTGCCGCCTCTAAAAGAATAGATACAATGCATCCTACCAGTGCTCTCGAGCAACCTGCCACATATCTCTTTTTATCATGCGGCAAATGATCAATGGTTGCTCAGGTTCAACATACAAGGCATTCCAAGGCTCCAGCACCGTCCCAATCCCCTCGCAGACCATGAGTTGGAAGTATTCCGCAAAATCTCAGTAGAAGTCATAAGACCAGGCAATCATAGGCAATCAAAAAAACAAAAAATGAAAAGGGAATCTGCAAACTGTCCCAGGCCAAGATGTAGACACTGTCATCACAAGCACCTTTCTTCAGAGCGCCGGACACACACACAAAGTACACATATGTACATATATAATCATATATATATTAAATAAATAAATAAATAAAGAAATAAAGAAATAAATATATATATATATGTATTACACGTGTGTACATGTATAGGAAAACACATGCACATATGCATGCAACTGAAGTGAACCACATCGTTCCCTAAGATCAAAAAGAGAGACAGCCAAAGGAGCTCACTATCTGTCACAACTCAAGATGGCAAAGACCCAGAGATTGTGAAACCATCCGGCAGAGCCAGCAGAGTTGTCAGTCGTCCAAACATGGCAGATGGTCTGACAAAATATGGCACCTCAAACGCCTCGAAGTAAGATGAGCCGTCCTTACAACATCCGAAGCATTGGTTCTTCCATGGTGTAGCATCTCACAACAGCAGCCTACATGATGCTACTTGCAACTTCACAAGTCATGTGATGGCACTTTCAAGGTATAACTCTAGCATCCTTCCTTGTTTCAACCAGTGTCCTCTATCAGTGCTGACATCGGCCGTATACGTTGTCCTCAACCTTGTGAAAAAATCCTTATGTAAGAAATATGGTTGCAGTTCATGTTCTAAAGCAAGGCTTATGGAGGAAATGACGTCGCAAATGCCGTTTTGGCCAAGATTAAAATTATGAAACCAGTGGCTCGGAATAAGAACAAGTTAATTATGATGTGAAGCTGCCGAAGTCATTCATTGAAGTATCAAGTTGGGTCAATGGCTACATTTTAAAAAATCGATATGCCTATTCCGGCTGCCGCTCACAATCTGACTTGAATTTGACATTGTGGTCGCGGTTGAGGCAAAAAAAATGTCGTAAATACTTTTACCGGGAAAGTTTGATGAACATATCCACTGGAACATATGTGCTGGGAATATTTGATGTAGTTCTCTATTTGGACATAAATGCTGGGAAGTGGGGACCACGTCTATGGAAACTAAAGGTTGCGACCGCAATACAGTATGGCGTGATCAACCCATTCGGCCACATGCCGTTAGAATTTGCTGGAAACAAACTGAATGGTATGCTGGGACCAAATCCTGAGGGCAATAGTGCCTGTTTCTGAAAATGTTCGGTTAAAGCATTGCTTCCGGCAATTGGCGTGAGGTCCTTTTTGTTTGGCGATCATGTTTGCAGTGCGCACGCTGGGGTCAAGATTTCTTACAGCAAAAACGCTGCTCCTCACAATGTAAAAGCACACAACACAAAAAGGACGCGAATATCCTTGTATCGAATTTGTCAATGACCCCATGGCATCAAAATGCGCGCCAACAGTCACGCATGAGAATGTGTTAAGCAAGCTGAGCTGGAAAGGAAGACACATTTCTCTACTTTTTCTTCCCTGGCTTGTGCCTTGGTTTGCCTGCAGGCTCCGGTCTGGGACCTAGATGGTCGTTCAGAACTCCAAATGATCCTGTGGGTATTGCCAGGTCTCGGCTCACAGCATATGGGACCCAAACGGGGGCTCAGAATGAAAACTCTAAATTTTCCTCTGGGCATGGTATCGCGCCAAATCTTGATTCAATGATCATCTACCCGCGACAGATCAACACTCGGCACCAGAACTCTGGCCAGAGTTCCCCGCAGCTGCCCTGTTCTTCTTTGGCTTCCGTGGGGCCTTGTCTTTCTCACCCTCCTTCGGGGTGGGGCCTTTGGCCTTGTCAGGCCCATCCTTCTCATTCTCTCAATCTCTTTCCCTCATCATCAACTTCCTCTCCACCCTCACCGGACTTCAGCAGGTCGGCAGGAAGATATGTGATATGATTGATATGATGATGTGATATGATAGGATATGAAGTGAAGTGTTATGATACGATATGCTGTGACATGAGATGAGGTGAAATCAGGTGTGAAACCATGTGGTATGTTTTGATACTCTGGTTTAAGTTTTCTACATGTTGACACGTTACAAGTCGAAAATGAAATATGCCAATGTGCGTTGAAATTAAGTAATAATAAGTTGGAACTGCCACACCTTCCGAACGGTTTCGAACGGTTTCAAACGGTTCAAGATAAGTTTTCCGAACGGTTTCGAACGGTTCAAGATAAGTCTTCCGAACGGTTTCGAATTCCAGCTTGACGTCTCCTGTTTGGTAAGCAGGTGTTCAAATTTCCTGGCCCACACCCTGCCAGATTGAATTCCTCCAGGATCTTCCTGAAGCTCTGGACTCGTTTTGATCTGGGCTTGCCATCCTGCGGGGCCGAAAGCGGCAGAGTGAACATAGTCCGAATCAGTTCGAAAGGCTAGTTTCGTGCGAGGCTTCCGTCAATTTTCAGCACATCTCACAAAATGCCACGCCTGCCACGAAATCTGCACCTTGTCGCCACTTGACGCAGCCCTGCCAATGCGATTCGCAAAAAACACGCGACACGTCTAAAGTGCTGCGCCTGCCATGCAAAATGACGATGGGCACGTCCAAAGTGCGTGCGTCGGGACATTGTCTCTCACCGGGGCTTTGTCCGGATGCATTTTTTGGTGGAGAGCGTGGCGCTGCAGGCCAATGGGAGACAGGCAGCAGCAGCAGCAGCAGCAGCAAACCTCATGGATTGCACTTTGGTTTGCCCAACTTAAGGTTTGCAAATGCTGTTCCACACACAGTGCGCCACACATTCAGGCGTACAAACGTCTTTGATATTTCCAGCGCTGCCTTTGCCCTACCTCCACCACGTCATGAGCGCGTGCTGCGCATGTGATGAGGTTTTTTCGTAGTTGACTTTCTGGCGCGCAGCGGCACAGCAACTGCCCCAGGCATGTCTCCATGCCTGCGTCCAAGCACGGTGATCACCAACTATTGCTTCCCGGAGCAGATGCATCGATCTCATCGAGCCATGATACGTTTTGTTCGTTTCTTTTCTTTAAATTGCCGGTTTGAGACGGCAGTGGCGGACACAGCGAAAGAATTCCTGGTTCCCAAATCGAAGTTTCTCATTTTACGGCCTCTCCGGCTCAACAGCGAATTCAGTTTAGAATTTTTGCGAAGATGCCGGGGTCAGCATGACTTCCCCACAGCGCTCCCAGGACCCAATGGAATCAACGCAGTTTTGAATTATAGGTACATTCAGACGTGTTTTGTAACGTGTTGAAAGTCGTTTTGTGTGGTGGGCGCAATACTTTTGCGACGTTTTCAGAAGATGCGTGGCAGTTTTCGTGGCACACAACAACAACTGCAGCTATGCGCGCTTCCAGGCTTTTTTTTGCCTTTTCAGAAGTGAAGCAGCCTCCATGGCTTAGCTCAGAATAAACCGAATGGATCACCAAAGTTTGTGCCAGCACAAGTCTGCAAGAGAGGCAAGCATGTCGCACCAGCCACTTAATAGCAACATCTTTCATCCCTGAGATTGTGCTATATGCCCCCCCAGAGTCAGCTCAACTCATTCTGATGAGAAAACAGTAGAATGAGGTGCAGTAATTTCACACCATGGAGAATCACATTATATTGGATACTGGAGTGAGCAAATGTTTGCATCCCATCTCGGGATCACATCATCTCCACAGTTGCAACGCCAAAACTACATGGTAGATTGCTGCCTGGAGGTGGACCAAACAAACAAAATCATAAGTAACAGAACAGTGGTTCAACATGCGTGAAAAGGTCTCGCCACGGACGCGTGCTGTTTGAATGGGTTTGCCTTCGTTTGTTCCCCGCAGTCGCAGGCTTGTTGCATCAAAGAACTTCCCACATGCGCAGCCGCGACCATTGATTTATATACATTGAGTTTTCTCAATGTTTTTCACATTAAAAGTTTTTGGGTCACAACGATTCACAACCATACCACGCTTGTCAACACAGAATACCTATGATCGTGCTCAAATGGGCAAGCCAAGAGGATCACTCACATTGCAAAAAACGATGAAGGCATGAATAGATTCTAGCAATCAAAAAATGCCATTCGCAACTTCGAAATGTCCATAGGGTAAAGCAAAATCATCAATCATAACGTCAAGATGTACATAACATATGGGCTAAAATTCCCCAAACTAAAACGCCCAAACAAACATAGTTCAAGAACACCTTTGTTTTTACACCTCCCCTCAAAACACAGAAGCCTGGATATAGAGGACACTGGTTGAAATTCCCTCCTTCTGGTCGTCAAGCCCATCAAGGTCTGTCATGTCTGCAGCCTCTTGTTTGCCAAGTGACGGGATGGCCTTTTTGCTTTCTCCTGAATTTCCCCCGCAACATTCATTAGACATTCCTATGAAGATACCTCATGAGACCTCTTGCAACAGATCGTGCACACTGATACAGTTCGGGATTTCTTGCACTGTCGATTCTATCGAAATCTCAAGCTCCACGCTGAGGATACTGAAGCTGGAGTCGCTTTAACCTCTAAACCGTCACAAGAACAAAGCAGAACAAAGCGGAACACAGCTTAAAATACGTCCAGATCATGCAAATGGATGCAAATGGATGCAAATGGATGCAAATGGATGCAAATGGATGCAAATGGTGCAGTCGAAGCCGTGAATGCTTCGGGGTCAAATTTGTTCCAGGCTTGAGGCTCTAAAGGCTAGCCGACGTCTAAAGCCAAGACTTCTGGTGGAAGTCCATGTGTTTGAATCCAGCGAGAAGCTTTTCCTGTGTCACGGCAATGGGTTCCAAAATTGTTGAAAATTGAGAGAACAAGTCTCTGCTGGAGTCCAATTTCCACTGCATTCCATATGTTTCAGCTATCAGTGGACTTGTATGCGCGCAATGCAGGGCCATGGGATGCAATGGGATTCAAGGCAAGCCAACAAAACGCAACGAAGCGTAGTCTGTCTACATCTCAGTTTGTTTGTTTTGTTTCCCTGCGCTCAAAAGCTTCTAAGGCCTGTGATTCAGGTTGCAGGCTGAGACATGCCAAGCAGAAACATGAAGGTAAAAAGTGAAACCAAAAAGGCAGGACCTGCTGCACCAAGATGTCAAGATCAAACACCAAAGTCGAAGGCAATCTCAGTATCTGTCTGTCTATGCATGTTGTGTTCCGTTGTGTTGCGTTATGTTGCAATGCATACATCATTTTATGTAATGTCATGCAATGGTATGTAGTCTGCGTGTCATGTATTGTCATGTCATGCTACGCAATGGTGTGTAATGATATGTAGCTGTAGCAATGTGTTCTGGCATGTAGGAGCATGCAATGGTGTGTCAGAGTCGTAATGCTATGTAATGTGCATGTACGCGTATGGAAGGTATAGAATGGAACAGAACGGAAGGTAACGCAACATTGCGTAACGTAACATAGCGCATTGCACTGCCTTGATGCATGCATGTATGCAATGTATGCATGTACAAGTATGATGAGTATGTATGTTTATCGCCTCTCACATGTATATACAGGAATGCGTGCCATCAAGTGGTCAATGCTGGGCAAGAATGCGTGCTGTAAAAAAAATCAAAAGGCACCACAAGAGACTTCCCTGCAATTCCACCAACAATCATTCTGTCAGCACCTGCAGTTGTAAAGCTTCTGGAACTGAAAACTGCGGGCCCTGGACGAGACCTTCCAAGCAGGAGTATAGCACAATGCAGCATGAGATACTAAGCCGCTTACTTCTTGCAAAACATTTCAATTCCCGACAATTGCGAGAACCCTACGGGGCATAGAAAACTGGACAGCCTGCAGGATTTCATCAGGCTCTGCAATACTTCATGATAATGATGCGAAAACTAATATGATTTGGAACTGCCCATCATGACAATAAAGAAACTGTCAAAGCCCAAAAATTGGCCAAAACATGCTGAAATGGTTGCCCTGGTTACCCGATTGCCAGGGTTACCCTTTGTGCCCCTTGTGCCCTTTGAACCTGCAGATGGAGGCGGAGATGCTTCGGGAGCTTCCTCGACACTTCCGCAATTTTCTTAAAGGATTTCATGATTTCATGAGAAGTACTATTTTGATCTATTTTGCTTCTTTGACTTCTTACTTGCCAAGACTATCCAAAACTCACCTCCATCTGCGTCCACTGTCACAACCAACAGCTGCATCAGACCATCCTATTCAATGTCTTTGGAAGGTGTCTTGGGCCAACGATGTCCGATAATTTCCCCAGCACAGCGTCCTTTTTCAAAGGCTTTATGAAGCCACCACTCTCAAAGAAGTTGCGCAAGTCTGCGTCCTTGGATCTTTGGTCTTTAGTCAAAAGATCGACTTGGAAAAGAATGTCATCGCTTATGGGAGGACATGCAAGCGTATATTCAATACAGGCACTTCAAGGTAAGTCGTGTGGCAACTTAGATAACTTGGCAAGTACGCAGAACATAGAATGGTCATGGTCAATCGTGGTACAGTTTCTTTTCAAGCATTCACCTCGAACAAAATTCATTATGATGAACGAAGAATCAATTTAAGGCATGGGCGGACCAATCCCGAGCTTCTTTGGGCACTGCTAGATCAATACCTGGGTCTGTCTCGTCAACATCCAGCTACATCACTAAAACTTTGCCAAAGCCACAGGAAACTCAAAAAGCCTAGCTCATCACAAGTACGTGCGAAGAACGATCCAGTCCAATGGAGACATGAAAAAGTCGCACGGTGACTTGGGATGAAGAAAAATGGGAATCGAACATATCGTCTTACAAAACTCTACGGAGTCTACATCTCAGTTCGGGCATCCAAGAAGCATCCTGGGAATTCCTCCCGCAGCTCCTGGCAGTGCGTCAACATCTTGGCATATGTTAAATAGTCTTCAAACATCAAATGACATTCTGCCTATATAAGATATCTCAAGAGCATGTTCGACATCCGAGGACTTCTTGCCTGTCGAAGGGTAAAAAAACCGCAAGGCTTGTCAAGTTGGTCAATCTTTGAAGGCCAACAGCTGAAATCTGGAGTCCTCGAGTCTCGCTTCAAAACCCGAGCTGCCCTCGAAAGGCACTGAAGTGCAGAACTTAATTTGCCAATGACACTGGAATGTTTCTTTCGTGCGGTTTTTTGCAATGATGTCCGCACAAACCTGAGGAAGTGTCCTGCTTAGGCATTGCATCCCTGGTTTCCAATAAAACCTCAGCGCTCAGCACTTCCAAGTCGAGACTCTGTGAGTCCTTGCTCAGGCACCTTGTCTTTCAGGCGGATGCTCACCCATCCCTCCTGGAGCTTTCCAACGGGATCCCAAAATGGTTTGTCATTCGACGAAAATGAATAAAACACCCAAATATCGCTGGGCACTTACAGTCATCTCAAGTCTAAATACATCAAACCATGTTGCCAAATGCGCTCTCAACCAGCACCGAACGGACTTTGTGGAAACCAAACTTGCTTTGGCAGTCATGGCATCGTCGAGCAGAAAGGATGCCTCCCTGGCATTCAAGAAAAACTTGAGGCCCACGGGCCGACAATGTCCCCGGCGCCACGGCCAAACTGTTTGCGAACCAGCCAGCCGGGGGGGGTAGTTAAGTATGAAAGTTCATGCGATTGGAGATTCCAGACCCCCAAAATCTTGCCAAAACAAGAAGGGTTTCAGCTAGCAGAAGCTAGCTTTCGTGAAAACAAAAACCCTTCAAACTCATTGAGCCTTGCAAGCCTCGCTTGAATTGTTACAACTATGATCCACTTGAATGTCTGCGAGTGGATGAGCAGGAAAGTGAGTGTACATGAAGGAGGTGTTGGAAAGTGTTGGAAACGGATCAGGTGCGGTTCTGTAGAGTGTGGGGGAGATGTTCCTCCACGCGACTGTCTTCACCATGCATTGACTGGGCAGTGTAGACGGCCCGGCCACGTACTTCAAGACACTGCTAGATTATATATCCACTACTGTCACATAGCACGGGACAGCAAAGCCAACACATTTACATATTTACAAATACATGAATACATATTTACATATTCACATATATTCATGTATTCATATATACACATTCATACAAATATACATATATCTATATTTGCATGTAAAAAAATACATATTTATATATTTATATATAAAGATATATGTATACATACTTACATCAGTATATATATATACACATGCTTAAATAAATACATGTATACACATTTAAAGAATTACAAATATATATATATATAAATATGTACATATACATTTTTACATATTTACATATTTACATATTTACACATTTACACATTTACACATTTACATATTTACATATTTACATATGCACATCTAGTGAAATATTCACATATACAATTTTACAGGCATGCATATACCTATATTAATAAATATATATATATACTTCTACACATACCTGAGAAGGGGTGGAACGAAAGCCAGCGCTTGCTTTTTGACTCGCGCGGGGGCGCGTGAAACTCCACCTCATCCATATGGCATTGCTCAAACATGAAGCGCCCCAACATCAACAATTGCTATCGGGTCATAAGTTTCCAATCATTAAATGGACCTTTTTAGGGTAAACTCCACGATTTTGTAACTTCTATATCCAAATATGTTTCCTACAATGTACTGCGGCATTGTGAAAAGTTCTATCTCAAGTTCCGCAAAACCGCCTTTGGTTGCTCATTTATCTTAAAACAGCGCAAGTTTGCTCCCACCTATTGTAGATAAAAAATACCCGCTTTTTTGTGTGAACAGTGGTCATGTGACCTCTCAAAGTCTAAATTGTTTTCTCCCCAGAATCGTGGTCCATGCTTCTCCGCGAAGTTCCGCAACATTTTGGCCGTACGGTGAGAAATCAAAACATAGCTCTACTCGCAAAATGGGCAGTGCAAACCCAAGACAATATAACATACGTAAGAAAGGGTATAAGAACGAATGAAAATCGAGGAAAACAATGCAAAACCCACGGGAAATATAGAACAGTGGCGAACATGCAGTCCAAATCAAAAGTATATATATATATATTTAGGCCATTTACAGACCTGGGTACCCCCCCACCCCCGAAGGGTCTGGAAAATATGTATTTTACAGGAAATGTCGCGGAATAGCATCATCCCTGACATCGATAGAGATAATTGTTTGGCATCCCGGAAAATCTTCTCAGCTATCACACTCGCCAAACATCCCTTTTAAAAGGCACACATACTATCACGGACGTACAGATGCATATCATTCCCGTCATTGCCATTAGAAGATTCAAATTCTTTCTCGATGTTTTAGTACAAGATTCATTTTTAGTTCTGTTTCAGCCTTCTCAGTACGGCCTCTTACAATGATATTGCAGTCTCCTAACCTAGGTGGCTCCTGGGCGCAATCTTCATTCCAATGCTTTGTGACAATAACCAGAGGCCTGGAGCCTATGCATCACTTGACAGTCGACTCAGTTCTAAACCGGAAAGACTATTCCTTCCGTTTACCAGTAGATCGTTTTTGTAGTTCTTATCACAAAACTACCAGAATCAGGGAGGCACCAAAAAACGTCAAACAGCTTTAAGCGTTATAAATACTCTAATCTGCAGATTGCATTTATTTTTCTTACTCTGTGAACGAAATCACACTTTTCTAACTTCACACAGATTACCATGAAACCAATTTTCCCATGCAACTCCTAAAATCTTACAACTCATACATCTTTTTTCCTATACCATCCGCATCTTGCTCCAAGGTTTCATGGCAATGTCTTGTACGCGAGTCAGCCACTATTTCCTATCACCAAACTACATTGCTCATCATCTAACATTATCTACAGAAACCAAATCGGATTTCCTGCTCAACGTTTCCGCTCGTTGACATTGTCTTAGTTTTCACTGTATTTTTAAAGCATTTTTAGTTATAACATTTTCCTAGGTTTTCACTGTATTTTTCTAACATGTTACATGCCTCCTAGCATGTTCACGCGTGTCCTCCATGCTGTACTGTTTTCTACATCGTTTCCTCTAGTTGTTACAAGCATTTCCTAGCTTGTACACCGTTTTCCTAATATTGTCACAACTTTTCTTCCAGTTTCCACTGCTTTTCCTCCCGTTTCCTGTGGTTACTTTCTTCTCTTTTGTAGGTTTTCACTGTGTTTTGTCCAGCTTTTTTTATTACATGTTTCCTACCATTTTCACCGCTTTCCTGTATGGCTTTTTGTACCATGTCCTCTCGTTTCCTGCATTTCATGCATTTTCAATATATTGTTCCAAGAGTTTTACCCGTCCCCTTCAGTTTCCGATCGTTTTTGCACCATTTCCTCTGGTTGTTATCGCATTTTCCTGCACTTTCACTGTATTTTTCCAGCATGTTTACTGCATCGTCATAGTTTGTTCCTAGCAGTCGCTCCGGTTTCCTCCATGTTCCAACAGATTTTGCACCCTTTATTCTGGTTGTTATCACATTTTCCTGCATTTTCCTTCACTGTATCTTTCGAGCATTTTCCAGTGGATTTTGTGCGATTTCCTCTGATTGTTATCATGTTTTCCTGCAGTTTCTATATCCTCTTCGTGGGTTTTCAGTCTATTCATGCATTTTTAATCTATTTTTCCAAGATTATTACCCGTCTCCTT